CAACTGTGTTGGTGGGGTCATTTAAGCGGGATCAAAGCAAAGCAAAAATATTGAAAACTAAAAATAGAATAAGACCGAAACAGACATGGGACGAAGCAATCAGAGAGGCATTGGAGAGAAGAGGAGTACATTGACAGACGCAAAGGTTGTTGACACGAAACTGCAAAAATTGGAAGACATTTGGTAAAAAGAAAATTAATCCGTACATCATATTAGTATGATTAGTAAAAAAAAGAATAAGACCAAAACGGATATGGGACGAAGTAATCGGAGAGGCATTGGAGAGAAGAGGAGTACATTGACAGACGCAAAGGTTGTTGACACGAAACTGCAAAAATTGGAAGACATTTGGTAAAAAGAAAATTAATCCGTACATCATATTAGTATAAAAGTATAAAATTTGTTCTCTAAAAATGAAATCAATCTAACACTACTGTTTAAATTAAAAATAATTCCAAACAATTAGAACCCAAAAATAAAAATCTAGTTAAATCGGGTAACCTAGGGGGCCATTTTATTGTACCGTCTGTACTAATGACACGTACTTCAGAAAAAATTAACACTTAAAAGTCTCTAACGGCTTTTGCATTATGTGCAAGACAGCCGTCTTGTTGAAACCAAATTTCGTTAAGTTAATTTGAAGACGTTGAAGTGCTGGAATTTGATTTTGCAGTAATTGGAGATATTTGACTTTTGAGTTTAAATTGCCTTCAATGAAAAAAAGTACCAATAATATGGTTTCCCAAAATTCCAGTCCAAACGTTCAACTTTCGTGGATACTGCGTACGCACAGATACACTCAAATGCTTATTCTACTGAGATCGATAACGTACAACGGATCGATTATGTTTCTTGTGAATTGTGAAGGACGACTCATCTGTAAACAAAATATTTTTCAAAAAATTATTATTTGCATGGCATGTCTCCATGAATATTTTACAAAATTGTATCCGTTTAAATTGATCCTCAGGAAATATTTCTTGAGTTGTCTGCACTTTATAACAATGATAATTGTTTCTTTTCAAAATATTTACCACTGTTTTTGCATTCAACTTCAACTTTATCGGCAATTTGTTTACTTGAATACGGCGTTGCTTCAGCCAATGCACAAACTTGAATTTCTCGTTCTTGATAAAGTTTCTTTTCGCAAGGTTGATCTGATGGTCAACATTTTTTACATCTAACATTAGTACAGCCAAACTTTTCAAATTGATTAATAATGGCCGATTCAGTTTTTTCCATAGGTATTGGCCTATTTTCAAAAGGCATAATAAATAACAGTTTCTTGTACTGAATTGCCCCCAAAGTACCATTTTATTATTTTCAGCCGTTTTTCATTTGTATAAACAATAGACATATTAAATTTTTATTTTCACACTTACGTGGTTATTACCTCCAAAAAGAAATTCATAGCATAGCGTTAGGCCTGTCTCGTATGCAGTTTATCAATTCAATGTTTTAATTCAAATATATGTAATAAGGCAAACCTGTCGCTGTTTCTTAGATAGATAGATATAGTTCCCGCAAAAAATAAAATACTGAATTATAATTTATGGTATTTTAATATATTCAAATGTCTTACATCGTTTATTAGAAATTAGTACCATGTTTATAACCGGCAAATAGACATTACATAGAAAAGAGAAGGAACAACCATGTTTGGATATTAAATCATAAGACCTCCATGACTTCCGCTGTAAAATAAACACGGAGTGTGTTTAATACCTGAGCTGCAAGCAAATGCTGTAAGATTGCGAAAATAGAAGTACTTAGATGGAATTAGTAAGTAGTTGAATTGTTTTCACAAGCACACTATTTAAGCTTATTCCAAAGTTGAAAGTGGTTGAAAGTTTGTAGTGTTTGTGTTATTTTTACCATTGTATATCAACAACAGTTTGTGAAACACATAATATATGTATTGTAGTTTGTGTCAAAAGTTTATTTAATATGGTTTCATATGCCTGATGCATACATTTTAATTAAAATAAAGAACATAGTATTTTATGTAACAATAAAACACTGAAAACTTCGTTTTCAAACTTCCACAAAATTTATTTTAAACTATTATCACTACAGCTGTTTCGGCTGATTGCCTTTCTCAAGTGATCTATTTTTAGCATGCGTTTACACTTTATAGTCTCTAATGAAATATGTTGAGGAGGGGAGAACTGTTTGTCTCAAGTTGGTCATTCAGAATTATATCTGTGTTTTTTAATTTGTTGATTTCCATAGATTCTAACAAATATAGCTTAAAGCCTTTATTTTGAATGTGAAGAATTTTAAATTCGTCATTAAAAGAATGATTAAGATCTAGAAGGTGAAGTGCGTATGTAGAATCTGTTTTTCTATTATTGAAAGCCCTTTTATGTTCTGGTATTCGTTTATTAAAGTTTCTACCAGTTTGGCCGATGTAAGTTTTTGGGCAGTCGCCACATTTAAGTTTATACACACCACTGTGTAAGTGTTTTTTATTTTGGCTCTTATGACGATGAAATCTTTCCACCATGCCATTTGCTTGAGGGTGATAGCCAGTTGTTTTTAAATGGATAGTTCCAGTTAATTTGCAGATTGATTTAAAGAGATGTGATTCGAATTGTCGACCTCGATCCATTGTGATACGCTTGGGAGTGCCAAAACGAGCTATCCAACCAGAAAAAAATGTTATGGCTACTGTATCTGCTTCTTGATTGGGCATTGGGAAAGCTTCCGGCCAACACGTGAAACGGTCGACACATGTTAAACAGTATCTGTTTCCTGCAGAAATCGGCATCACTATAATGTCTATGTGAACATGTTGGAATCGGCTGGAAGGTGGTAGGAAACTTCCAGTCGGTGAAATAATGTGGCGCGATATTTTTGATTTTTGTCACTGTAGACACGCTCGACTCCATTTTCTCACATCTGATTTGATTGAAGGCCAAACATATCGCTGTGTGATCATCTTCACAGAACGGTTGATTCCAGGATGTACTAGATTATGCATGGTGCTAAAAATTGCCATTCGAAGTGGTTTCGGTACAAATGGTCTGGCTGTAGCTGGTGCTACGTCACAGTACAAACTAACGTTTTGTTCCGGAAACCGTATTTGCTTTAATTGCAACGATATTTTTTTCCGTTTTTAGTTCTGGATCCGTTTCTTGTGCGAGAACTAAGTCCATGATGTCGATATCTTTCTTGGTGCTATCGACTCGTGATAGTGCGTCTGCTACAATATTTGTTAATCCAGAGATGTGCTGAATGTTGGTGCAAAACTGTCCTATAAAATCTAAATATCGAAATTGTCTAGGACAGGGGTCTCCAAACTTTCCAGCCTTAGGGCCATACTGATTACTCCAGTAAGTTCCGAGGGCCAAGATGGCAACACTGTATTTTATATATATTTTTTTTATATTTTATTATATATTTTATATATTTCTGTATTTTATGTGTAATAGAATTTTGCTGAAGTGATCATCATTTTTTCCCACAACTAAGCCGTACGCTGGCTTAGTTGTGGGAAAGTCCTTCAGCGCTTTTTTGAACTTCGAGCAGTGATCGAAATTTTTTTGAATGAAAAGCACCGCCCTCTTACTGAATTACAAAACAACGCATGGCTATGGAAGTTAGCATTCTATGTTGATTTGACAAAACATGTGAACGAACTGAATTTGAGATTGCAAGGAGAAAACCAGCATCTTCCTGATTTATACACTAATATCAAGTCATTCCGGATGAAATTGATACTGTTTCAATCACAACTACGAAGTAAATGTTTTTCACATTTTAAAACATGTGAAATATTCAGCCACACTACTGAGACTGAGTTTCCTATCGATTTTGCAATCGAAACTTTGAGTGCTTTGAAGATAAATTTTGATACTCGTTTCTCGGACTTGATGCCATGCGAATCAAATTAAGATTTTTCAGAATCCTTTTGATGCTGACATTGAAACCCTAGCCCCGGAACTTCAAATGGAAATGATTGATCTTCAGTGCAGTGATATAATTAAGAACAAATATGAAAACTCATCTTTGTTGGAATTTTATAAGAGTCTTCCACTGACACAATTTGATAATTTGCATAAATTTGCTCGTGGGCTGTTTTCCGTTTTTGGTACTACTTATTTGTGTGAGAAAACCTTCTCCAAAATGAAGTACACAAAAAATGTATACAGATCTAAATTAACTGACGAGCATCTTAAATCTCTTTTAATAATTGGTACAAGTAAAATTAGTCCACAACTACAAACTATTGTCGGTGGAAAATCTCAATTACATACATCTCATTAGCATTTCATATGTCATGTTTGTTATAAGGTATGTGTTGTTCATTACTTACAATGATAAAAATGTTAGTTGGATTCATTTCAATAATTTGTTAGTTATTATATGCTGAAGTTAAATTTACTGCATAAATTATACATGTCTTTACTCATTACCATTCTGTGTTTCTTTATCCAACTTATCACAAACATTTTATTTGCTATAAAAAATATTTGTTCTCTAAAAGGAGTTTTCAAGTATGTCTCCGCGGGCCGGACAAAATCTGTCTGCGGGCCGGATGTGGCCCTCGGGCCGTAGTTTGGAGACCCCTGGTCTAGGACTGCATTTACCTAGCTTCTGTGTAAAGGCAAAGGTGATTGGTTGGTGATCAGTTTATATGCGATCACAATTGTATTACTAGTGTATGATCCTAAATTGTAATATCTGCATCTCTATTAACTCCTGTAGTCGCATAAATATGGCGGAAACAGTATTTTCTTGTGGATTTTCTAGGTTCAGAAATGTGACAATTTGTCTAGGCATATTGTTAATCCCAGTATTCTCTTGCAAAAAATACCCTCTAATTTTAAACAATATTGGTTTATTTACAGTTGCAATTGCAATTCATAATTCAAAAACAATAGTTTTAGGATAATGAATTCCAATAATTAGGATTGTCGATCCCAAATCTTTAAGGGATCATCATATTTACATTTAGTTTATATGATTCAATATTAAAAATATTTTTTTTGTTACAGAGCGATGAAAGCGTGATCACTAGCGTAACACTCTTCTTTCTACCATGTACCTCCTCCCATCACTGGTCGCCTTGCTGCTAGCAACGGCGACATTCTTATTACCCTCTACAATCGCTGACAACGAAGAAGACTTCGCTTTCGATGTCACTGAAGACTTGGAGATTGAGTTTGAGGGAGATAAGCTAGTTAAATGGAACGAGAAGGATTTGGTAGCCTATGTTGGAAGGACTTTCCATTTGGTTGTACCGAAAGAGAGCTTTAAAGGCGTTGTTAAAAGTTTTGAGGTGAGTACAGTTTATTTTACTGCTGGATATGTTTTTGGGTCGTAAAAGCCGCAATTGCGTAAAGTTAAATATAGGGTGTTTCAAAAAAAGGTAACACCGTCTCTATGATAGGAAAAAATTAAAAACTAATTGGGGTTTGCTTAGTAAAAATTTTTGTAACGCTATCTGTTTTCAAGATAAATAGCGTTGAAGAAAAAAAATGTTACACATTTTTAATGTTTGCCATTTTGTCGAAACTAGTGGCAACATTATAATGAAATTTTATACGAATATCTTTTGGAAGCTGATACATCTCATGAGTATGTTTTTATATCTTAGTCTCATAGAGGGCGCTAATTACAAGGTTCGTACCAAGTATTATTCAACATAACTTGTTTACGGGTAGAATTAATAATCAAAATTCCAAGTGAACTTAAACATCATACAATACAGCTTCTCATGCTGTATAATATGAAACAGTATCCAATATGTTTTCTATTTGGAGAGAAGTTGCACAAATTTTGGTTTTGCAATTACTGTTTTTACCTTTTTATAACTCTTGTATTATGATAATCTCTAGTTCTGCTAATCATTTTTTTTTCTTAAATAAGATCCAAGGACGAAACCATATTTATAGTGTCACATTTTTTCATAATATGACAGTTTATTCGTGATTATCAATCATGAGTCCACTCATAAAATAAAACTATATATTGTTTAAACCAAGAAACAATTGTATTTTTAAAAATTAAATCAAAAGCTTTTTACCTAATAGAAATATAACACAAAACGGAAGTACTGGGGATTATAGCAACTGTAGATAGAAGAAAACACTTTTTACTTCATCCAAGCTTTCGGAAACTGTATTACATTGTTACCATTATAAAACAGATGCAGTTATATGTTTCGAGGACCTTATAACATTATTGTACTTACAATAAGATGTGATTTTACACCGAAAACGATACATGACAGTTTGGTTTAATAATAAACAAGGACGCAACGTCATTACAATTTGGCAAAATTTAGTAAAATATTGTTAAAGACCCTACTACTGTTTATATAGTTATTATCATCATCTTTGGCTCAACAATCCTCTGTGGATCCTGGCCTGCTCTAAGATTAGTCGCCATTCTGTTCCGTTTCTGGCAACGTGTTGCCATCTTCTGATCTCTAGTATCCCTAGGTCGGTCTCAACTCCATCACGTAATTCGCGGTCGAACTTCCCGAGAAGTATTTCATCTTTCTGCGTTAGGGTCCATGTTTCCGCCCCGTATGTTTCCGCCAGCGGACCGGCCTGAGCAGTGTTTTGCTTATAATAGGTTTAGTTTTTCTTTGGATATTTCTTGAGTAGAATTGTTTTTGGAGTCCATAGTATGCCCTATTTGTAAGGTTTATTCGTCTTTTAATTTGTTTGTTTGTTTTATTGGTAGTAGTCACTAGCGAGATAAGGTATGTGAAGCTGTCAACACGTTCAAATATATGATTTCCAAATGTTGTTTCTCGTTTCTCATTTGCTATAGGATCCTTAATAACCAAATTGTACTTGGTTTTGTCTTCGTTGATGACTAGACCGACCTATTTCGCAGCCGTTTTAAATTCTTGAAAATATTGCTAAACATCTCGCTTGCTGTCAACACGTTCAAATATATGATTTCCAAATGTTGTTTTCCGTTTCTCATTTGCTATAGGATCCTTAGTAACCAACATGTACTTAGTTTTGTCTTCGTTGATGACTAGACCGATCTGTAGTAGGTGAGTAGGAACTTTGTATCGAACTATTTAAATAGTACCGCCGTCTCTAATTCGTGTGTCTCGGACTGCCTTTCCAAGGTAATGTTAAGTTAGAGGAAAGGAGTCCATCCTTTATGTTAAAGGATCGAGAATTTTCTCCCTGTATCCTAACGCTGGCTTCTAAGTTCGACATTGTCATTCTCGTTCATAGGATAAGTGATTTACCAAACTCACGCATTGATTGGGAGAGTATTTTTCTCTTGACATTGATGGGTTTCAATGTTAAATTATTCTAATGTTTTCTCGAGGATCTGTCTTATTTAATAAATCTGGTCAATAGTTGATTTTTCAGGAGTAAATCCGGCCTGGTATTTTCCAACTATGCCAACTCCGTAAACTTTACTAGTATTTTGTAAGTAGTTGTTTTGTTTCGTTGTCAGGTAATTTCCATGTTTCTTTGTGTATTATTTTATAGAAAAATCTTGATCCTCTTCCTATCATGTTTTTGGTGCTTGCAAATTTTATTAGTCTTAACCCGTTACCATTTGGCTCTTCATGCAAGCTCTCACATCCTATAGTTGGCTGACAAAAATACTCTTTGTTAATATTTGCATTAAGGTCTTTAGCAATTATTTCCACGTGATGACGTGGACATGGATTATATTCCTTGTTCTAAGGTGTCATAGAATTCATCTTTTCCGATATCTTCCGTGGGTGCGTGTACACTTAATAAGCTAACTCGTGTCAGGTGCTATATCCGCTGTAGTATATATTGTAGTATTTTCTTTCAATAATTCCTGAACCAGTTTATCTCATCTCTTGAATCGCTATTACTTCAGCTCTTATTTTATACAGTACTTGTGTTAGCAATTTAAGAGTCCCTGGGGCATTTCGTACGTTCCATTTGACGTTTGCTAGGTCGTCGTGAATCAAAAGGGAATAGGTCATTCATATCCATCATTAATATGGTCCCATCCAAGCAAAATATTACTAAGAATCATTAAACGCCGTTTGCAACAGTACTTAGACAACCAAATTCCCCAAGAACAAGCAGGCTTTGTCAAAGGGAAGGGTACGAGAGAGCGAATCCTTAATATGCGACAGCTCATAGAAAAGGCCCGCGAATTTAAAAAGGCATTTGATTGTGTAAAGTGGGAAGTTCTCTGGACAGTTCTTCATAAGATGGGAGTTCCAGATCATTTGGCAATATTAATTAAAAACTTATACGAAGATAACTTAGTTAAAATAAGAATTGAAAACCAGCAATCTGATACCTTCAAAACCAGCAGAGGTGTACGACAAGGCTGCATACTATCTCCAGACCTGTTCAATTTATATGGAGAATACATAATGAGGAACGCACTCGATGGATGGAGAGGCGGCATCTCCATTGCAGGGAAAAAGATCTCAAACTTAAGATTCGCAGACGATACAACACTGATAGCAACATCTGAAGAGGAGATGTCGAGACTGATAAAGAGAGTAGAAACCGAAAGCAACAAGTGTGGGCTCAAGATTAATAATCAGAAAACAAAAATCATGATTGTGGACCACGCGAATATCCTCCAAACAACAGGCGCCCTAAATAAATTCGAGAAAGTAGACGAGTTCACGTATCTAGGATCTTCCTTAAGCAATGCAGCCTCCTGCCATACGGAAATTCGCAGAAGAATAGGAATGGCCAAGAACGCGATGAGTCGACTGTCAAAAATATGGAAGGACCGCTCTTTGTCCAAAAAACTCAAAATGAGACTGGTACGGACACTCGTTTTTTCAATCTTTAGTTACGGTGCCGAAACATGGACAATAAAATCAGAGGATAGGAAAAGGATTGACGCATTCGAAATGTGGTGCTGGAGACGAATGCTACGCGTCTCGTGGACGGAGCACAGATCCAATCAGTCGATTCTCGAAGAGCTAAACATTCAGACCAGACTCTCCTCTCAGTGTCTTGCAAATGTTTTAAAGTTTTTTGGCCACATTGCGAGAAGAGACAATGACAACTTAGAGAGACTAATTGTGTGCGGAAACGTAGAAGGACGTAGAGGCCGAGGACGCTCACCTATCCGATGGTCAGATCAAGTACAGAAAGCCACTGGAGAGACGTTTTCCGAGTCCATGAGAGCAGCCCAAAATCGCAAGAGATGGAGAGAATGACAGCCCATGTAGGGAATCACGATCCTCAGCAATGAGGAAACGACAAGAGACAGAGAGTCTTATTCTAAGTTAAAAATTATTTAAAATAATTAGACATTAGCATACGATGACCTATAGAACATATGATGATGACTGATCAATGAAGGAGTTGGAGTTGTAGTATATGGAAGAAAACAAAGACTAAGCTGTAATTAAAGCCAAGGTAATCGCCCTACTATCTCCAAAAACCTTTGGTTATTGTTAAACTGTTAGTGAGGAACTTTTCAGTTGTTGCCCATGAATATTATTCTGCATTCTAAGTCTACGAAAGTTACTTGTTACTTGAAGAGAATACATTATTTGTACATGTGCGGCCAGCTAAAAAGCCATCATTCTGGCTTTGCGTAAGTCCAAGCCTCGTCAAAATTTTCTCTTCAGTCGTCCCTATCCATCGCCTTCCTCCGCCAAGAACGTATTCACACATTTCTAATGTTTTCATCGATGTTTTTCTCGGAACATTCAGATATATGTTCCTGTATGTTCTATAAAGTTCGAAGTTGTGCCGTCTTCTGCACACTCCATTGTCATTCACCGCTCCATAGATTCGACTTTTCTTTCGAAACATCATAACGTGTTTACATTACTTTTTTGTGAGAATCCAGGTTTCTGAATCATAAATCCACCGGAGCAAATAATGAATATGAACAATTTTAATTTGTTTTTCTAAGTCATTAAATTAAAAATTTTACGTAGATGTTTTTGATTGAAATTAAAGAAGCTTGGATGACTTAGCAGTGAGTATTCTCTCCTCTGATAGTGATAACAGCTTGCAACCAATGACGCATGCTTTGGATTAGGTGTTGGCTCAAATTCCGTAAAAGAGTGTTCCGTTGCTGCACCAATATATCTCGAATCTATCGAGAACTTCTGAAAGCTGGCACAAGTCTCTACCAATATCGTTTTATACAATTTAAATCTGTACTGCGTGCGGGACCAACAGTATGGGACCGTCCATTATTATGTATAAATGTTTCCTTGTTTTCAAAAATTACCATGAATAGTAAAACATAATCTTCTAGAATCTTTGTTAGGTACCTATGTGCAGCCAATGTCCCATTCTCGGTGAAGAATAACTCAGTGAAAGCTTCGAA